ATATAAAATGTACGAATATTAAAATTAATTGTATCTACAAAAAAATATACACAACTTCTGATATGTTCATGGTGTAAGGTTTAGTGTTCGCTCTCACAACTGTTGTTAAAAATTTACAGAGCGTATTGGTGACACATATTAGTAATCATGTTCTATTTAATTTTGATCGATTCTAATTGCAAAATATCGTCAATGTACCCTATGGTAAACATACCGCAGCTGACACTATCATTCTAACGATACACTAATGCCTTTGGCAAATGAATTTTCAATGGCATCGGTGAGGAATCTCGTGTTTTGCGACGAGTTTTGTTGAAATAATTGGATTGGTGGCAGATGATGGGCATCATCGTCGTAAGGGATGTCATTTAAGTCGCACGTACTCCGTTATCCTTAGCAATCGAAGTCCTAATAATGTCCATCACCTTGATCATCCACTTGACCAAATCGATCTTCACAACCACCTAGTATTCAGCTATATTGCAAGGCGCAAAGATGAAATCGACATCTTTCTATTTTTTCCCATCTGTCTGCCTATCACTTTCTATGTACCCCTACAACTCATCTGGAATTTTCATAGTGGACCGTTCATCTTCAATTGGATATATGGTGTAGAGCATACGAATGATGTCATGTGAAATATGTATACATCAGCTTACATTTCATGCAATCTAAAACTTTAGTATTTTCATAATTGAAAAATGTGTAAATAAATTTACGAAGAATATTGTATCAACCACGCATGCATAGGTGTTGTACAACTTGGACTTCAACCCTGTCATTCGCTTATACAGTATGGTAAGATATGTGTTAATTTGTTTACTTGTCATTTCCTCTTTGGGATCCTCTAATGTTGTGAAAAAGTCAGCCCCTTGATCCTTGAAGATCTAGACATTACGCTTGCACATGAAATAAAATGAATTTCAAAAGGTTTGATGGATTAATATTTCATTCAAAAAAAATATTTGCAATGTTATTCATGAGCTTATCTCTCACACTCATCTTTCTTGAAAGCTTTGTATGCTTCCACCATTGAGTTATTCAGATCCCGATGATTCTCTAGCTGGTTGGCGTACAAGCTTACTATGTATTTGCTCGCCATTTTCACCCATGCCTGTTCAGTTAGGTTTGAAATGAGTGTGCTTCATGATGATAGACATCAGACAACTCTAGTGACGACAACCGTGACGTGCTACCTTAATGAGTGCTTTAAGGAACATGGTCCTCTTCAGCCTAAATTGATTCAAGGTGCCCATCCTCTCCCACAACTGCCTTGATTATTGCATCAGTGTGAGGAACATGGTTTTTTTCTACCTGAACTGATGCAAGGTTCCCATCCTCTCTCACAGATGCCTTGACTACCGCATTAGTCTGAGAAACATAGTCTCTTTTAGCCTCAATTGAGTGAAGGTCCCTTTCCACTCTAGTAGATGCATCGACAACCGCATTGACCTAAGGAATATGGTCTCCTTCAGCATCAATTGATTGAAGGGTCACATCCCTTGCCACAACATCATCAAGAATGTTATTGACATGAGTTACATCCTCTCTGTTAGCACCAACAACGTCATGGTAAATGTGAACACCAGGTTCATCATGCTGCCCATCATCAACATCATCATGCTGCTCACCATCATGGTGAGATCAAGCACCACACTATAGAATGAGACAAATGGAAAAAATCCATGAACTTACAAAATACCATAAACCGTAAACCAAAAATAAAAAATAGGACTACACCCGCTAAACGTAAAGCACCAATATATGAGCAAAGATAGAATAACGTACTTGTAATTTAAAGCAGTTTAGAATTCGACCAATAATACAGTTATCAAGCATTTGCATTACGAGAGTTAATGATTGAATTGAGGCCTTCAACTCCAACATGTCTTTTTTATACTTGCGTAAGATCCGTCGTGACTGATGTTTGATGACTGCACCATCATTGACTCTCTTCGAATAGGTCAACTGTAATAACATATATTACTGTGTTATTTAATAATCATATATGAAATTGTTGAACATAAACCATTAAAACTTTAATATCTTTATTGGTGGCTGGTTAACACTATGCAACTGAGCAAGACCAATCGGTGGTTGGAGAGCTGTCGTCACCTTCGTTAACTGCAATAACAGAAATTACTGTGTTATTCGATAAACATGAGAAAATGTTGAACATAAACCATTCTTATCAATGGCTCGTTAGCACTGTGTGGCTGAGTAGGACCAGTCGGTAGTTGAGGAGCTGTCATCACCTCCAATCTGTCAACTACAATAACAGAAATTACTATGTTATTTGATAAACATATGTGAAAATATTGAACACAAGCCATTATAACCGTTCTTATCGGTGGCTCGTTAGTACTATGCATCTAAGTAAGACCTCTCGATGGTTAAGGAGCTGTTGTTGCCTTCGTCAACTGCAAACACAGATATTATTGTGTTATTCGATAATCACATATAGAATTATTGAACATAAACCATTAGAATCGTCTTTACCGGCTATCCGCTGACATTGTCATGGTCGTCCCCTTTCTCTATCAACTCAATCCCGACAGCTCATTATCTCCAAAAGTTGGGGTGTGCCTCCATTTAAAGAGACTAACGGCTCTTTTCTCTTTCAAGTTTCCCCTCTTTTCCTTAGCACATAAACCCTAGTCCGCTTGATCCTCCATGTGCCCTATTGGCACTTACTAGTGCCCTTTAGATAAGGGGACATCAATATCAATCAAATACTCCTATGTGGCTTCATCGGGGGTGGGTTCCAAGGTTTCAAGTGTCCACAATTGCAAAATAAGCATTTTGAATAAATTTTATGATAATTATTGTACAAATTTACAACATAAATTAGTAGTTGTTCACTCACATGCTGAGATGACTCCAACTTCACAACCGCTTTGTAGAAGTCTTTTGGTTTTTGATTAGATTGCCATCTGCAGGTATATGGGTAGGCTTTGTCCTTTGGAGCAAAAGGGGTAACTCTTTTTTGGAATGCAGGAATCACCTCTATTTCCCAGAACTGCAAGTCAAATGTAACCATTAACAGACCGTAAATAATAAATGAGTACAACCATTAATTATTATGTCAAAAGGAAACTGAAAAATGTTACATGACAATACCTGTATCACCAACGCAAACCTGTAAACATTGTAGAGTAAACAATTATCTTTCGGCAAGTTTGGGGCAGACACTTCGAACCCCTTCAATGGGTAGTCCTCGATCAGCCTCTAAATATAGTGACCTTAGAGGAAGACATTCTAAGCGTCGATGTTTTCCACCAATGACAAGAGCCAAGGCATCACCCGTGTACGATAATCTTGACCAAATAAAATATTATTCGCAATCAAGACGAGTGCCATCTTGATCCCATTTTCTGGTCGCTGAATATTGCCTCTTCAAAACATGTCAAGCAATGCTTGTAGCTTAACGTTCTGTTGCCCGTTCAAGTATCTCGAATGAATTCTGTCGGGAACAACCTATTACAGTCGTGTGAATACATAGGACATTGGGTCAAACTTGAGTCCGATGATAAGGCAAAACTCTTGCTTTGATACATGGCTTGCTCTTGCTAATAGCAACCATAACTCATGGTCCATTGACTTTGTATCAGTGATTCGATGAATCATAATGTTTTGCAGGAGACCAGAGTAAAAGTAGCCTTATAGATATATGTCCAACAGCATTCCAAAGCATGTACACTTGACTGCATCGTACTTCCCTTTTTCTTGAAGAGTCTTGTTGATGTAATGTAGTTGCGACCATTTACAGTGTGTGTTAATGGAGACCTTGAACGCCTATTTCTCCCTCAATACAACAAGCAAACTGTTAAGATCATCATATTATCTAAACTGCATCTACAAAACATGGCACACATGCACGTGTGAGTTAACCCATAATGTGCAACACGGTATACTGAAGAAAGAAATAAATGTTGTTACATGCTATGCATACCAGGTAAAATGTTGTTACACGTTATGCATACCAAGTCAAATGTTGTTACACGCTAACCATACCAAGTCAAATGTTGTTACATGCCAATGTTAAGCCATATCGTGACATGCTAACCATGCCGTGTCGTAACACGCCAATCACTATAATTACTGTCTCATCACATGAACTGTTCTAAAATACCCAATGTGGTGACATGCCAACCATGCCACGTCGTGACACACCAATCACTATAATTACTGACTCATTACACAAATTGTCTTAAAATACCTAATGTGGTGACATGCTAAAAATCTAGAAAATAAGCTAAAACCCCCAAAAACCAGTTACCTTACTACACACCAGATCAAATGTTGTAGTTCGTGTTACATGATATGCAGACGCAAAGCCCTTTCAAAACTTTGGTATGATCGTAAACCATGTGAGCAAAAAAATGTTATAACTCTCTTTCTCCACAATTTACCCAAAAACCAGGAAGAAAATAGTTAAAACATAACAAATGCCAAAACACAAACATATCACAGCAACCCAACAAAAAATGAACTAACTGAAGAAAGTTTTAACTTAAGACTGACTGACCTCTTCACTGATAACTGATATTGTTACTGTGATGTCACTAAGCTTGCAAAGAACGAAGTCGAACAATCTAGTCCCTTTGGGAATGAGGAATGAATCAAATTCACTTAGTTCCTTCATACAGATGTTTGCAAATTTTGAAAAAATATATAATAAAATGCAATGGCCTTATAATATTCGTTTAGTGGAAGTTCAAACGGCTTCCTTATTATTTGTCCGCATTTTTTTTTCTATTTCAAACCGTGACGTGTCACACATTCAAGCCATGGCGTGTCACACATTCAAGTCATGGCATGTCACATCTTCAAGTCATGGCATGTCACATATTCTGACCATACCGTGTCACAGATTCTAATCATACCGTGTTACAATTTCTCATCATGCTATGTCATAGGTTTTCATCATGCCGTTTCACACAATTTCAACATGCTTTGTATATGAGAGTATGTGTCAATAAAAACATCTCATTAAAAATATTTTTATTTCGAAATCTCTTATCTTAACTTAAAACAATTAAACTTATCTGAAAAGATCTTATATTTTAGAATTAATAAAAAAGTTTTAGATTTTTCAAACCGCCAGCGGTTCGTATTTTATTTCTAAACTTTCCCGCAGAATTTAGCGGATATTCGTTGTAGCAAAATGAGAATTCCACGTAATAGTTGAGCTGAAGGTGAGGTAGCCAATCCAAAATTTCTGTCAATACCACTCCCGCCATGAACACTCTTTCTATCCTCTCGCTTCCTCCCCTTTTCCCCACAACCAAACACTGCCAGATCTCTCACTGTCACTCTCTCGCTCAATCTCTCCCTTTCTGTCGCCCCAAATCCATCCTCTCTCCACTTTCCTTCCGTCTCTCTTTCAAATCCCGACGCTCTCCCTTCTCCTCAGAACCCAAACTCTCCGACGCCGACGAAGAACTCGAAGATGACGAAGACGACGACGACGACGATTACGAAGCTGCCGACGAATACGACGACGTTTCAGGCGAAGTTTCGGACGATATCCAACAGAGTGCAGACGAAGTTGAAATCTCGGTGGATTTTTCGAACCGGCGCAAGGAATCCACGTGGCAACGTGTCGAGAGGCTCTGTAACCTAGTTAGAGAATTCGGCCAGGAAATGATTGACGTTGATGCACTCGCTGATATTCACGATTTTCGCATTGATAAGTTTCAGGTTCCATATTTTCAATATTTTACCTTTTTTGGAATCAGCTTTTTCTTCTTCTTCTTCTTCTTCAAAATATAATGATTGGGCCTTTTGTTTTGAAGAGAATAGCCATAGAAGCATTTTTGAGGGGTTCATCGGTGGTGGTTTCAGCGCCAACAAGTAGTGGAAAGACCTTAATTGCGGAAGCTGCGGCCGTGGCAACGGTAGCCAGGGGAAGCAGGTTATTCTATACAACTCCGCTTAAGGCATTGTCCAATCAGAAGTTTCGACAGTTCAGGTAATCATAGTTATTTTCGTTCCCTCTCAACAAGCATAATGAGCTATAATCTTCACTTTCTATTTATTTTTGCAATAAATTTTATTAAGTTTATTAAGTTTTGGAGTGATTTTGAGTTATCACATACAATTAATTACATACAGTTCTAAAACCTCAACCATATTGTGGCCTCGACAAATTTTCCCTTGGCCCTGCCACTATGAATTGTTGGAATTGGAAAATTTTGTAGTGAAAATAGTTATAGGTGAATCCTTCAAGCTAATATGGTGATCTTTGTTGGTTTAGGGAGACATTTGGGGATAACAATGTCGGGCTTCTCACAGGAGATTCTGCTGTCAACAAGGATGCACAGGTTTTAGTCTTGACTACAGAGATTTTGCGCAACATGTTGTATAATAGGTACTCTAGTTTATGTTGTATGCCTGGTCTTGGTAAAGCATATGCACAGTTCTGTGTAATGTTGATGTGAATGGTGCCATATATCTAATGTGTATGAAGTTTTCATTGGTTATATACTTATAGAGTATATATTAAGTACTGTGTATCACTTTGCAACAAAAATGTTGTGTTGGCAATTTTTACCCCCCATTAGGAGGGTATTGACTGCCTCATGTTTATTTTAGGTCTGGGGATGATCAGACTTATATTGCTTTCTAGGAAGAAATCTCATATAGGTATTGCATGTCTTATAAATGCTTCATTTGCAGCCCCCATAGTTTTCTTTCTTAAGGCTTGTGTTAGTAGTTGAAATTAAGCATGGTGATTTATTGTGTCTGCTGATGCAGTGTTGGAATGGCTTCTTCTGGGAGTGGTTTTTTTCATGTTGATGTGATTGTTCTCGATGAGGTTCATTATTTAAGTGACATATCTCGGGGTACTGTGTGGGAGGAGATAGTGAGTATATTGATTTTTGGACCACATATATTTCTGGATTGTCATTGTTTAATGTATTTTCACCTAGTTGTGAAACATTGTTAGGTGATTTATTGCCCAAAAGAAGTTCAACTTATATGTCTGTCAGCGACAGTTGCAAATCCAGATGAGCTAGCTGGTTGGATTGGTCAGGTACTGTTCCTCATCATATCATATGATCTTGGACCATCCCTGATATTGGTTCATATGTTTGAGAGTGATTATGAATATGCATTATATCCTCTCTGTATCTTTGTTTGCCCTTGTTTGTTTGTCTTGCACTCTTGGAATCACAAACTCAAAATGGATTTCCTGGTAAAGTGTTCAGCCTTGATCTCGAAGTTGGAGATATTCACTGGCAATGGCATGATTTCTATTTTACTTGTCTTCAGCATGTTGGCTTTTCCGCCATCAGCAAATTTTCTCTTTGTTGTACTACTTGCTAGACTGCTTTTATGTACCGTTGGTTCTCGTAGCTTGATTAGTAAACAAAGATAGTGAGCAGTATATTGTTTGGTGATGTATAATCTCATGGGGCTCAGTGTTGATTTGATATCCCAATGTAATCTTTTACATGCTGGGCTTGACATTCTATTTCAAGATGAGCTTGTCAGGAGTGTTGTAGACTTCATGTTCTACTTGGTTATTTTAGTAAATGTCATTTCACCAAAAACATAATATTGGTTTTAGCCTTAGGCTCCTTGAGTTAAGCTTGTTCTTTTTTCATTTTTAACTTTTGGGGGAAGGGGGTTTCAACCTGGCTGTTTGAGGAGGACACATCCACCTACCATTGTGCTAAATGCTCAAGCAAACTTGTTCTTATTTTTCTGTCAGCTTAAGTCAATTGAGCCTTAATTTCAAACTTGCTTGTTATTTTTTTGAAGAAAATTCAACAGATATTTCTTTCTAGGAGAGAAGAGTGGGGATGAAATGGTGTTTAGACAAGTAATCTCTGTCTGCCACTTTGAAGATTTGACTCATTCAATTTGAACTTAGCATCACCCCGTTGAAAAAGTGTTATCACCATGAGAAAAAATGCAATTTTGGACTCATTCATCTTATGAATGTCCTTCTCTTAGGTTTTAGCTTATCTTCTGTTTTCAATATTTCTCTCATTCAGTGAATGTAACTGGGGCCAGTTCCTGTTTAGTAACTTCTTTATTTGCATCTTTGTTGTCTTTGTTTGACTCAACCCATAAAACTAGATTTATTCTACAGTTGAAGGTACATGTTCCAAGTCAGATTGGTATGCACGATGAAAGTGCACAAAGATTCCAGAAAATTCCCTCCTAGCTGTGTGATCTTCCCACTTACTCATGATAGTTGTACTAACCTTGACCTCTGTATCTTTGAATTATAAGCTAAGAGCCTATGAGTTAATTGATATTTTTCCCCTTAATTTTCATTTTGTTTCTAGATTCATGGTAAAACAGAGCTGGTAACATCATCCTGGCGTCCAGTTCCATTGACTTGGCACTTCTCAACGAAGACTTCCTTATTGCCTCTTCTTAACGAAAAAGGAACACACATGAATAGGTATTTCAAATAGAAACTGCTGGCCTTATGGAACATCTTTGGGGGATTCATATGCGGGAAGAAACATTTGTGTAGGCATTTTAGTGTGAAATTATGGGCACTTGACATGTGTATCTGTTGGCATATAATTTATAATTTTTTGGGGGGTAAAATTAGCACTGCCCCTATTCACGTTTACCAAAATAGTTTACTTAGATTAGCCTATTGTTTTTGTAATAATAATCTGAAAGTGGTAATCTAAGGTATTTACAGAAGAAACATTGAGCTGTGTAGTTTTAGTGTGAAATTATGGACACGTGACATGTGTATCTGTTGGTATATGATTAGTACTTTTTGGGGTAAGATTATCAGTGCTTGTTTCACATTTACCAAAATACTTTACTTAATTATTCTATTTTTCTGTAATAATAATTTGAAAGGGGTAATCTGGGTTACTCCTAACATTATGGAATCCGTACTATTCTGTTTATATTCTGGTTAAATGTTTCTGTATTTTACCACACACACGCACACATGCAAATACAATCGATAGCCTTTTCTTAGACAAAACTCTCTCTCTCTAAATGAAAATTCTGCTAAATGAAAATTGATAAAATTTCATAATTGTATCAGATTTTTTTAAAGATTGCATCTTTTCAATGGTTATTTTCTGTAATTGGTAATTTATCGGCATAGTTGCTTGCAAGTTTAGCTTACTGTGTTCCAATTATTACTTTCAAGCAATGTGAATGTCATCGAATATTGTCACGCCTTTACATTATAAATTCGTCTGGCGCTTTTCTCTTTAGATGATATTTTGCATTTGTATCACAAGTATCTCTTAGTACTTCTAACAAATTTTCAATTTTCTTTTGGAACCTGGAACAGGAAGCTGTCACTCAATTATTTACAACTTTCTGCTTCAGGAGTTAAATCTTACAGGGATGATGGATCTAGAAGAAGAAATTCACGACGGCGTGGAAGAAATGGGAGCCTTGATGGTATAGTTAGCATGTCTGAGCAGCCTCTTTCAAAGAATGACAAAAACATGATTCGCCGTTCACAGGTATGGTTTTTTAATTTTGAAAAGTCACAAGTATGGTGTAGTAATTTTATTCTTTGGTTGTGGTTGGCGTAACTTGTTTGCAAATAAAGAACACTTGTTGAGGGTCTCCTTTTGCCAGATTAGCAACAATCATAATAAAAAAAATTATTTACAGCATAATGATAATTTTCAGGTTCCTCAAGTTGTTGATACACTATGGCACCTCAAAGCAAAGGACATGCTTCCAGCAATTTGGTTTATTTTTAATAGGAGAGGTTGTGATGCAGCTGTGCAGTATGTTGAAGACTGCAGCCTTTTGGATGAGTGTGAGATGAGTGAGGTAGAACTTGCGTTGAAGAAGTTTCGCCTTCAATATCCTGATGCTGTGAGGGAGACTGCAGTCAAAGGACTTATTAGAGGGGTTGCTGCACATCATGCTGGTTGTCTTCCGCTATGGAAATCATTTGTTGAAGAGCTGTTTCAGCGAGGACTTGTTAAGGTCGTATTTGCTACAGAAACCCTGGCGGCTGGAATCAACATGCCTGCTAGGACAGCTGTTATTTCATCTCTTAGCAAAAGGACAAGCAGCGGACGTATCCAGTTAAGCCCTAATGAATTGCTCCAAATGGCAGGGCGCGCTGGACGTAGAGGCATAGATGAAAGGGGTCATGTTGTGATAGTGCAGACTCCTTACGAAGGTGGTGAAGAGTGCTGCGAGCTTCTATTTTCTGGAGTTGAACCCCTTGTGTCACAGTTCACTGCTTCTTATGGAATGGTGTTGAATCTTCTGGGAGGAGCAAAAGTTACTCGTAGGCCTAATGAATCAGACCAATTGAATGCTTTACAAGGAAGGAGAACTTTGGAAGAGGCAAGGAAGTTAGTGGAGCAAAGTTTTGGAAACTACTTGGGCAGCAATGTAATGCTTGCTGCGAAAGAGGAGCTTGCTAAAATAGAGAAAGAGATTGAAGCATTGACTTCCGAAATTAGTGATGATGCCATAGATAGAAAAAGCAGGAAACTTCTGTCAGAGGTGGCATATAAGGAGATTGCAGATCTACAAGAGGAATTAAGGGCAGAAAAACGCCTTAGGACTGAATTACGAAGAAGAATGGAATTGAAGAGATTTTCTGCTTTGAAACCTCTCTTGAAGGAGTTTGAAAATGGACACCTCCCCTTCATTTGCTTGCAGTATAGGGATTCTGAAGGAGTTCAAAACGTAGTTCCTGCTGTTTATCTGGGGAAGGTTGAGTTGCTGGATGGGTCAAAACTTAAAAAGATGGTGTCTGCTGATGATTCTTTTGCAATGGGCAGTGTTGGATCTGAGTTAAATGCTGGTAAGCCTGACACTAATCAAGATGTTGAACCAACTTACTATGTGGCTCTTGGTTCAGATAACTCCTGGTATCTATTTACAGAGAAGTGGATTAAAACTGTTTATAGGACTGGCTTTCCTGATGTTGCTTTAACTCAGGGGGATGCTTTGCCTCGGGAAATAATGAGGACACTTCTTGATAAGGAGGAGCTGCAGTGGGAAAAAGTTGCTGACTCTGAGCTTGGTGGTTTATGGTACGCAGAGGGATCTCTAGAGACATGGTCCTGGAGTCTAAACGTGCCAGTTTTAAGTAGTCTTTCTGAAAGCGATGAGGTGTTGCATATGTCGGAAGAATACGATGAATCTGTAGAACATTACAGGGAACAAAGGAACAAAGTAGCACGTTTGAAGAAAAAGATAGCCCGTACAGAAGGCTTCAGAGAATATAAAAAAATCTTGGATATGGCTAGGTTTACCGAGGAAAAGATAAAGCGGTTGAAGGCTAGATCAAATCACTTGACCAATAGAATGGAGCGAATCGAGCCGTCTGGTTGGAAGGAGTTTGTCCAAATCAGCAATGTGATTCATGAAACAAGGGCATTAGATATAAATACGCACGTAATATTCCCTCTTGGTGAAACTGCAGCTGCAATAAGAGGAGAAAATGAACTGTGGCTGGCAATGGTCCTTCGAAATAAAATCTTACTGGAGTTGAAGCCTGCACAACTTGCCGCTGTGTGTGCAAGTTTAGTTTCTGAGGGGATCAAGGTTCGTGTTTGGAAAAATAATAACTACATATATGAACCTTCCTCTACTGTCCTAAATGTCATTGGTTTATTGGATGAACAAAGAAACTCCTTTCTGCAACTTGAAGAGAAGCATGGGGTAGAGATACCTTGCTGTTTGGATGGCCAGTTTTCTGGAATGGTCGAAGCCTGGGCATCCGGCCTATCTTGGAGGGAATTGATGATGGATTGTGCCATGGATGAGGGTGATTTAGCTCGCCTTTTAAGACGAACCATCGACCTTTTGGCTCAGATTCCCAAGTTGCCTGATATTGATCCGTTGCTGCAAAACAATGCAACAACTGCATCTGATGTCATGGACCGTCCACCCATAAGCGAGCTCGCCGGATGATATCCCTTTGCCTTGTCGGTTAACACGTAATAATTATTTATTGTATATGTCGATAATACACATCTTGACTTGGAATTGGCTACGCCTACCCGAAGGAGCGCATGTTTTGTTTGCGAAAGTCCAATTCCCGGAGTCAACTGTCAAACATTTTCCATTTGCTGGAAGAAAAGATTATTTTTTAATTACTTGTCAAGCCAGTGTACATTTTAACATATTAAATTAATGGGGAAAAAGCAAAATTTATCTGCCTCGTCAGTGCCAGTACCAATTATGGGCTGGCATTGTGTGGAGTCATGTCAGGCCAGGTATGAATCGTCATCTTCTGCCAATGGATATGTGGGAGTCATATGGATCCAGCCAGGAGCACTCGTACCTTTGCCTTTCTTCTGTTGGCTTTTTGGTCCGTTAGGATGGTGAAATTGAAACATGAAGCTCCCGTTTTTGTTTTCATTTAGTCATTCTACATTTTTATCCTTCAAATGCATGTGGATTAGATGAATAATAAAGCACAAAAGGCCAAAAAAAAAATATTAGATGAATGGATTGAACATATATCTCAGGTTTTACAGCAGATATTACCTCTCTTATGTACACGACAGTGGCTCAAATACCACCAACTTACAAGATATAACTACAATCTTTTGATTGAGCCTCATCCCTTTTTCCTCAATACCTTCTTATTTGGTTGGTGAGTGATAGAAATTATATGATGGTACATTGTAGATGGTTTCAAAAAGGTTTTCCACTTGTGGCACTGTCAACTCTTTCATCCTCAGCGCCCCGTGTATGTAATGCATGCCCATATCCAACTGAAAAACAAAGAAAATCTGAAGCAAACATGTCAACATGATGCCGGATACTTCAATTGGATAAAATATCATAAATAAAGGATTAAACTCAATATGTCAACACTCCTTTAAGGGAAAAATGATAAATTAACATACAATGCAAAAACCGACGTACCTTATCTACTTAAGCCATTAAAGTATACGCCAGTAGCAATCTCTGAAATCGCTGTTGCCGTTGTAGCTTAATTGAACCACCATTTGAAACCTTTGCCCGGTTATGGCATGAACTGTTTTGATGTGAGGCCGGCTGCCGTCTCATCCGAAACAAAAAATCTTCCGTATCTAAAACATACGAAACCTACAAGGCACAGATTTCACTTGTCAACTTATCGTGCATATATATATATGCAATGACAAGAAATGCAACCGTTATGGTGCAACAAAATTCCTTCGTAATGAGAAGAAATTTCTAATATGATATACCTTGGAAGAACTGCAAGCAATCTTACACTCCAAACCATTAACTATTTTAAGTCCTTCCGTCACCTGGGATGTTGAAGAAAGCTCATCACCACCTACACATTTGCGTATATTCCTGCAAACACCACACTAGTATGTCATGATAACTCCATGGAATAGATGCGAACAACTTTGTCTATCATCTATGTACCTCTTCAAGAAAATCCCAGGCTTCTCTTTTTCCTCAGGAACAACCGAGAGAAAGTCATTGTGCAAATATGCTGCAAAATTAGGGTCCATGGAAACAGCTGTCACTTCAGGCTTATCATGCCCATAGTCCATAAGCTGAATGGAAAGACGAGTTGGTGTGGATGACTGCAGTCATGAAACATAAAATGTAGAGTGCATGTGAGAGTTCTGTATTAGACATCAAATAAACAATCAACCAGAGAAAAATAAAAGGAAAATTAAAAAATTGGTAAGACTTACACATTCAATACGATATATATTCTCATCATGAAGGAGAACTCGGGCATTTTCATGATAAACAACGTCAACAAATCTTCCAGATTTTCTTGATTTCTCATAGGCATAGAGCTGAAGAAGCTTATTGTCCATTTCATCACTTGCAACGGTTTGAAGCTGTGGCAAGCACCACAAAGATAAAAAATTCAAGGTCAGAAACACAGGGAAAGAAAGGGACAAACTTTGGAAAAGAAATGTGCATTACCTGTTTGACAAGTTTATATATCAACTTATCCAGCGTGAACAGAACATATGACTGAGTTCCAATTATAGCTCGGCAATCATCCTCAAATTTTGTATTATCAGAAGAGCCATCAAGTAAATTGTAAAGTGCACTCATGAACCTGTACTATAAAGGAGTTTTAAGTTAAACATGAACTGTACAACCTTTTCACATTCCATGCAGCACCAGAACTAAAACTAAATTACCGGGCATAGAGATCAGTAGGACTTGGATCACTTGAAGCCCTCCATTTCCTATCTGCAGATGATGAATTAATCTTTGCTGATTGTATTCTCTCGTACAATGTCTGTTAAATTGTGCAAAGGAATTACTAAGTTGATGAACACACTATACTACAAACAGCAATAATGATTAGCTAAATATTTCTTCAATAGAATGATACTTACTTGGTGAAGCCTAAAAAGCACATAAAATGAGTCATTTCCATAAAAAACCCGTGACCCCTTCTCTTTCTCATGTAATGCTGAAGGGACATGCTTTGCAAGGGGCTTTACAGTTAGTAGAAAACGTTCTGAAAATGGTAATAATGTTCCATCTCCTTCCACATCATGAGCATCAGCCATCCCTTCAGCCTCGCCTTCACTCTCTGCTTTATTATCATGTTCGTCATGGTCTATGTCTTCCTCTTGCTCCTCCCTCGAGTCGCCTTCACCAGAATCACTTCCCGAAACCTCACCATTCTCAGAAGCATTCTCACTATCCTCTGATGTCCTCTGAGCACTTTCCTCACCTTCATCATCAGCATCAGCATCATTCTCTCCCCCAGCCTCTCCACAGCACACTTCTTCCTCTCCATGTCTCTGGTATTGTCTGTTTGCTGCACCATCTTTCACCTTATGGGCAGTCCCCAGACCAGCTTCTCCATAATCAGCAAAATTGTCTTCCTCAAAATCCCCATTTGGGGATAACTCACCTTCTTCCCTTTCAACTTTAAGTTGCCCAGCTGATTCTTCGTTATATCTGTGACTTTTAATGCCTTCAGTCACCATCCCATTTCCGGATGAGATTGGTCTAGAACAATCGCCACCCTGCAGCATATATGAAAGTCAACACAATTGCACAATAAGATTATAACTGTCAAAATCCAAAACCTAAAATTTTCTTCCCACAAACTGTTAGTCAAGCCAGGCTGTTTAATCACAGAAAACATGCCAGCTAATACTTACTTTTATATAAACCTTCTATAGCCAGTAATAGGCGCTTTCCAAAGACACCATCACAAAGTCTCAAAATCCAAAACCTAAAATTTTCTTCCTACTAACCATCTATGACTTAAGCCAGGCTGTTTAATCACAGAAAGCATGCTAGCTAATACTTACTTTTACATACATCTTCTATAAACAGTAATAGGTGCTTTTCAAAGACACCATTACAAAGTCACATACTAGATACCCTATGAGGAAATTCTACCAGTCCAATAAAATACCAATAAAAGAAATAGCAGGGGATGAGTCATTAGTATCAAGATATCCAAATTTTAAAATTGTAAATGTTATAGATTAGAGTTTTAAATCGTCAACAGAAAGTACATTTTGCTTGGTTCCAGTTTCCTATCATATTAAGAAAGGGCATCAACCACTGGGGACAGATATTGGTGAAAACAATAATGATGCAAAGAAAATAATTTATTCCTCATCTTGAGGACAATATTACTTTTGCCATACCTCTGATGAAGGTAAATTTTCATTACTTGACTTCAACTCAAGTCCACCCTCAATGGCAGCATTACCAGGTCTGGATGGATTAGCACTAAGACCTTGCAACAAAAGTATATCTCAGCATTTTAGTTAATTTTTATTAAAAAAAAAAAGTCAACAGAATAATTAGCATGACATCAACAATAGAGCTAATTTATAGGCCTTAAGCAACCTGAAGTATTCTCTATGCTAGTTCTTCCATTGCTTTGCTCTACTCCAGCAACAAGAGATGCATTTGGATTGACCAATCGTTCACTAGAACTGGCTTGCTTGCTGACCCCTGATATTTCATCACCATTAGCTGGATTAACCTGCTGCACTCTATCTTGATGAGGAGCATCACAGGAGGAATCATTCTTGTGATCAACATGATCCGTATTAGCAGAACCATCTTGCTTGATGCCATTATCTCCATTCAGCAACCAAGACCTACAAGAACTTGATTGCTCAGGTGGAATACTTTCATCACCATTTCTGGAAGGATTTGTATGTTTGGAATTCATGGCAACAGCACCTCCGCCAGGGCTCCCTTCACTCTCACCAACAATAGCACTACCATTTTTGACATTGTTGTTCTTAGCCTTCACAACATCTTCAGTGTCCTCAGCTCCATGAGGACGGGAAGGAACGCCAAGCATGGGTTCCAAGAAGGTGGTCCATATTTTCATTATTTTATCCAACTGTTCAGTTGTACACATTTCTCCACAGGAATATTTTATGAGCTGATATAGATCTTCATGAATTTCAGGATCAGGGTATTCAAACTCCAAATTTGGAATAATAGGTCGTCTGTTTCCAGCAGCAATAGCAAGAAGCACATCATCTTCTTTGCGCTTCTTCTCACTGATTTCTTTGATCTCAGCCAATAAAGCTGTAAAAAATATGAAAAATGGACAATGAAAACTGATGATATCCAAGGCAGCTAAATATTAATAGAATTATTCAGTTAAAAGAACAAGATTATAAAATTATTCAAAGAGTCAAATAAATCATTTTCAATTAGTAAACCCATTTCCACTATTAATAGTAATTTAAAAGTACTAAATTTGTACTGAATAAGCCAAACAACTAAAAAAACTACACAAAGAGATGCCATATACGTTGTTTAAAAAAATAGAATCTATCAAATATGCATGAAGTTACCGCCCAGAGCATGAAGGACATGAGAAAACATAAAGTCACTACCAAATACAAGTTTTCAAGACCAGCTTTGATTAATATGATAGTGCAGTACTTTCTGTTGGTATTTATGGTAAATCACAGGATTATTCAACCAAAAAAAGAATCCCACTGCATGCGAACATATGAAACGTATAATGCAATATGATCCTCCTACATACCAACGTATTCAACAATCAAGCTTTAATCTAATTAAAAGGAAAGGTCTGAAGATACCTTTTGTGCCTAAGTTCTTCGAATCCTGCTGCTTAAAATAGAAGCTACGGTGATCAAGCGATTTATGATAATTCTTAGCATAAATTTCAGCCCAAACTTTATTAAAATCAGAACGACATCTTGCCCATTCTTCTTGTTTCTGCTTCAAGCGGGTTAAAATAACTGGCAAAGCAAGATGGGCATTCTTCCTTAATACATCCATCACATCAAGTCCATGGTCACCGTACAAACGTTCAATGCACCTAAGATTCAGAGCTGCAGTGACAATCATAAGAGAACAGCCATCAGGAAATGAAGGAAAAGGTGTGCCATAAAATGCATATCCAGATATTTTATTCATCATTAGTCAGCTTATAACCTGTGAAGTGCTCCTCAATACGAATTGGACTGTCTAGTTTGATAGTATTATTGTTAATCTTTTCTAATAGTTCTTCCACTCGCTTGGTTGTTACATTCACAGACTCTAACAACATATCCAGCTCAAACCTGACAACATGGAAAAAAGATGTTAATCCCAAACTAATTATAAGTGAAATAATATAATATATTTTAAGCAATCAACAATTCCATAAAGGGATTTGAAGTTGAGCAAGAGAAGGCTCACATACACAATTTATTTCAAACAATTAACAAAGCTGTAAAGGGCCATGAAGTTGCAGGCAAGCACCCATGCGCAGAGAGAGAGAGGAAAAACTCAAGTACAGGAAAGGTAATTTTAACAAGAGCTTAAGTGATGTCATAAAACACAACCAAGTACTCAAATAGAGCTAAAGTGAAACAAAATAACCACCCACTAATAATAAGGCAAAACATGAGTAAAATACAATCAACAGCTAAAGGAAGAATCAACCTGTCATCTTCGCATCGAAATAGGCTTTCTTCATACTGGTTTTTGCGCATGTGTTTGAAAGAGTAGTCCTCACTCCCTGAAGTGACAGAAACCCAATGATCATTGAGAACTTCAGAACCAAGCTCTGTTCTCTGGCTTGCAGAAGGTATTGGATACTGCAAGGCATTAGACAAGTAAAGTGATTAATAAGAGCATCAACATATCCTCTAGATCACATTAACAAGGATAAGTAAGAAGCAAAAACTGCATACATTCTTTGGGAGCAGTCGATAACTAGGAGTGCAGCGTTCACAGTTAGAGAGGTCAAGTTCATTAATGGGTTTTCCCATGTACTTATCCTTGCTGGAAAATAAAGAAACCTTATGACTTCCTGCATCTTTATTGCCAAAGGAACTTTTATCAAGTCTATCCCTTTCTCGGGTTTCACGGTCTCTATCTTTGGCCCCATCAACCCTTTCACGATCCTGATCTCTATCCCTGTCCTCCATCTTAACTGATCTAGGTAACTGGCCTTCATTCCGCAATAACTCTGCAAGCATAATAACTTGCTAAGGACTTTGAACTAAATGCTCGCAGTTGAAGTTGGTTGAATAAGCAATATTTTGGAACTCAACCAAAAGTAGAGGTGAGTTCAGTTCAACCATGATGATCCATTAGTTTTGTCTAACATGCATCTACAATTGCGCTTAAAACTGTTATAATGATCACTCTGTTTTATGCTAAATTACAAGAACATTTAACTGAAGGTAATATGAGGGGTGAGAGATAGTTTAACTTACTTTGACTAACAAAATCAGCAAGCAATCCCTCTGTATAATAGGATTTGATTAGTCAACACTGACAACGCAGAATTTATATCAGAAAACTTAAAGCATTTGTCTCAAATAGTTACCATTCTTCTCACATCGCACCAACAACTCATTGAATCCATCCATCAGATCTGGGTATCTTTCAAGCAAATCATTGACCTAGCACAAGAAAAAGTATCCGAAAGTTACTTGTTTCATTTCAGTCATGTGTCTAACTGAGCAGTTCTCATATATATCTAAAGGAATTGTATCCAAAAAGAGTGATGCTAAATTATGATTTTGTTTTATTGGGTACAAATATTGTGATGTTGAATTCTGCAAAGTGCTTAGGTCAATTCAAAAAATGCAGCCTTTGAAATTTGCAGAATACCTTGAGCTTTTTTCAGTTGAAAAACATAACAAAACTTCAAGTTTTCCAACTAAAATATGTAAAGATAAACTACATGAATCCCTCTAACAAAGCCTTTATGTGAGTTGAAGAAATTAATAAATTCACAAACTAGAGATGTCTGTTAACCATACCAATGATTGCAATTCTGTGCGCGAGATTACTTCATTGCTATAGAGATGAAGGCACCTCAAAAATTCCTGCCAATGTTCAGGATTTCGTAACTTCTCCTTCACTTTTTCGCAGAAAGCAAACTCCTGATAATACACACCTGACATGGAACGAACTAAGTCAATAAAGATCTGAAAATTTTACAACCACCCCATTTTTTACATAAAAATCAAACAGATGAGAGTTGCCATGTAACAAAAATATTGATTCAAGAAAAACATTCCTATTCACAAATGATATCTCCCTCATAATACTTCCGAGAACTATAAGCATATTCATTAGGAACTTAATGAAGAATACATTTGTCAATTTGCATACCAAACCCCACGAGAAATATTAAATTAATGTGGTGTTAAAATTATATTTTATCAGATAAAATAGAAACGTCTTCCATGCAAGATAAGCACTTATTTATGTTTTATTTTAGTCAGCCATAGATATGCCCATAAATTTTATCTAGCAGAAAACTCACTTTTCATTGCATTTTTATCATCATATGTGGCGCCATCCCCACCTTGCTGCAATTGTTCAACACCTGAGTCTTCACCCTTACGAACAGGTTTTGCACTCCGTTTATGCGGAAACCGCATGTTGAAGTCTCTGTTGCCATCATTTTCAAAGTCTCGATCATCCTGTTCTCGGTCTCTCCTATCTCTGTCTTCTCTCTTGTCCCTTTCCTTTTCGCCACGTCTCCGTTGCTCTTTTTCTACTTTCATCATAGCTCTATTGTGATCTGGATCAGGGTGTTCCACACTGAGGTCACGGTCAGCATGTGAAGCTGTAGTCCTATCTTTCTGCCAGATATTTTCATAAATCAAATGTTAGCTTGATTGTCAAAATGTAACCAGAATTTATTTAAGGATTAGGCTAAAAGAAACCTTGTCAGCATGCACTGCACGCATTGTAGGCATAGCAGAGATCCTGTCTCGGGGTATGTTTCTGCCAGAGGAAGCATAATGATTAGATGCTGTTGCCGAGGTATCGGGCAGAAAATGAGTGAACTCCGAAAGCAGATCTGGATGGTCTTGGAAAAGAGTAGCAACCTATAAGGGAGTGTAATTTCTAATCATCAAAATCCAACATACTAGGCTAAAAGTATATAAACCATGCCAAAATTTAAAGGGGGGAAAACAGAGAAAATGAGGAATATATAACCTAACATACCTCCTGGTAGACCTCAGTGATAGACTTGTTTTCTTTCCTATACATGTTCAAAATGTCTAAAAATGACTTATAGACATGGTCATCACCTTGAAACCTTGTCTGCAAGAATCCAATAATGAGATCACAAACTTTTCAGGCAAACAACCTCTCTCATAAAATTTAGAAATGACACAAATTTTCTACCTTAATCTTGTTCACAAAATTAATAGCTTCTTCAAACTCCACTGGCTTCTTTTGGGTAGGTTCATCCTCTTGTGGGAGTGTGATCTCATATCCCTTAGGCAAAAAGGTATTGAAACCCAAAATTAGGTCTCGATACCCTTTAAATAATTCCTTCACCCTTGCTATGACACCTGCAGTGTCAATTCTACACTCAACATACCAGTACCACAAGTCAGAAATTGCTTAACCCAAACATTACCAGAGGATAAAGGGAAAAACTAAAGAAATCATAATGATCAGACCTTTGAGCCTTGAAGTCTTTCATTACTTCAAGAAAGTCATCATATTTCTCCCTTTTATCTTGAAATATGTCTTTGACAGCTTTGAGATATGCTAACGCATCATTTGTTGTCAGTTTCTGCGTACTTCCCACCCCTCCCACCATCTGTGGTTGCCCAGAGCTTCATCATCCAAAGACATAACCCATCATGAGATTAAAGAACATTTCCAGTAAATCATTGCACATTTTTACCACATAAAATTAAAGAAAATATAAGTCATTATCACCTGAAAAAGAAGATCAACAGCTCAGATCATTTAACCTTTCTTCACACAAAATTAAAACCGTATTGTAAAACTACATGGACTATTCAAAGAAGAAAGACTCGAAACATGTCCATCCAGAAAAGAAAGAATATTTACTAATTTTGCTATCTCCGAACCTCTTTAGAGAAAATCAAATTCCTACCACCAAAAAAAAAAAAATGATCTTTTCATCAAAGGTCAAAAGATAATTCACAATTATAAAAGAGCTCGAACTTAAATAAACTAAAAATAAACAAGCAATTACACTAATCAAATCCACTAAACTAAACCAGAGAAAGAAAATCAGCCATGGTAATTGACCTGTAATTAGAAACTTAATCTCATTGTTAACTTCCATAATCAAAAAACGATATTTAAAAACAATAATAATAATAATAATAATAATAATATAGAAAGAAGATAAAAGTTTTGTATACCCTTCTCCTCGAGAAGTAACCACCGGTCTTTTAAGTTGAGAGCCGCCGATGTAAACCTCATCTCTAGACCGCTTCATCTCTTGCTCCAAACAAAACAAAAACCTTTTTCTCTTTTATTTTATTTTATTTTATTTTTCTTTATTTTCACGAACGAATCATGCTTTCGAACTTCGATTATCTCCAAAAAGAATTCCTACAATCAACCAAAACACAGTCGCTTAAACCAAACAAACGAACAAAAAAAGCAGATCTCAAAACCGAACAGAAAATAAAGAAACGAAGAAACTTTATTTCCTTCTCTCCCTCACCTCTCCAACAGATCACCACCGAAAAGAATTTTCCGAGTAAATTCACGTTACTTGCAGACAAAGGCACGGTAATGAAGATAATTTCCAACACAGTCGCTCTCTTGAACTCCCTAAATTGTAAAAGATTAAAAAGCAGGAACTAACTCTTCCTAAGCAAGCTATTTTTCGAGCAAGGAAAAGAAAACTGTGTTCTTCAGATGTGTAGGTTTTTTCTCTTTGCTTTTGGAGGATTCTCGTGATGATAGCCAAAACGATTAAGAGAGGGAATTCTACGACAATTAAATTCTCTTTTTCTTCTTTCTTTCTTCTTTTTTTTTTTTTTTTTTTTTTTTTTTTTTTTTTTTTTTTCCGTTTTTTGGGTTTCGGAGAGAAGAAACAATGCTGTTGTTTGTTGTTGATGTTTATTTTTTAAAGAGAGGAAGAGACCTTAGGACTTGTGATATATTTGGTAGGGAGGAATAAACAATCCCTTACTAAGAAGAGGAGAAAGGAGGTGTGGGGATAGTTCATTCGACGGCCGTTCGCCGGTTTCTTTTGCGGGGGTTTACCGGCTATAGGCGGTTAATGTTCGAAATGGGCATATAATAAAATTAGTGTCTGATTAGGGATTTGCGAGTGAATTTAAGAGCGAACTAACCTGTTAATCAACATTGGGAGTGCAGTGGCAACTTGGGTAATTAATTAAAGATGGAAGGGTGAAAAATGGGAAAAGGTGAGAATTTATCATGTGATGGAAGTGAAATTGAAGCACTGCACAGCACAGCACAGCACAGCGTTTTAATTTCTATTCAAGGGTTGCCTGCTTCTGGGTGAATTTTTAGGGTTAGGGCAAATGGGTTCATTCTTTCAGGCAAATTCATCCCTTTCTGTTCTTGTTTTTTCGTCGGGTGATAACAGAAGTTAGGCTGAAGAAGCATAAAGTATAAGTCTGAACTCATTAGAGTTAAATTGCTTAAAAAATTTTTAAAAAGAAATTGAAGTAGGTTAATCCCACATGCAGAAGGTAAGATATAAGGGGCAGTTTAATTTCACCCTTTCGCTTTTTTGGCAAAACAAGGCAAAATGTTGTTTAAGTTTTATCTGCAAATGTCGCGGTTGTTGGATTTGGAATTGGATTGTGCAATTGGGAAGTTAAGGGCTGGGCCAAGTCTGACTCTGTGATTCCAGTTGGGGGTTGACATTGTTCAAATCATTAAGCCCAGTTGCAATCATGGATCATAATGGAAGCCCAAGGTTCTGTGACGCAGGAGAAGTACTGCTTGATTGCTAGGTTAGGCATGGGCTTGTTGGTTGTTCCACCTGTTTTCCATTCGTTAAATTCATAACATGGACTCACAAGGCCTACCTCCGATGTTGGGCTCTTATTGGGACTGAAACTTCTAAGGCCTTGGACATTTCCTGTGAGTTTGTGTCTTTTGTTTGAGCTGAAGGAACCACCCTGCAATGAGATGTTTATTTTAGACACAGAAGGCTTCAAGATGAACTTAAATATAACTCTCTCTCTCTCTGTCTCTCTCTCTCTATCTACATATATATATATATATATATTCCCAAGAACAAACAAATAAGAAATGCACATTGTGCATAACTAATAATAGGGAATGAACCAAAAAAAAGGGTAAGAGATAACCATTAAGTATCAACTCAATACAAGTTTTAAATCCCATTATCTGATATCTTTGAGGGGGTCATGCTGGTATTAGTATTAGTATTGACGATTAGTTTTCAAGCTCCTCCAAGGACAAGCCACTTGAACTCCTATAAAATCATCTATCTCATTGTGAGTTTTATTACAACAGCTCACACCAATATGGAACGTATAGATGACAATGATTTTCAAGAAGTTATTCTTATCCCATAGGAACTTAGCAAATTCTAGAATCAGATCAAGCATGGTGAAGGCAATAACCTAAAAGGCAATGCAGTTAATTTGCAACTATTAAAAACTCATAATCCCATATAAACATATAAATCAGTGATGACCTAAAGAGAAGAAATGAAGAAAACAAAATAGGAGAAGAGAACAAGCACGATAATCTAACATATGCCTCCTTGTATAGTTCACTGCCAGACTTGTTTTCCTTTCGCTACATATTTAAAATGTCTAAAAATGATTCTTAGACATGGTCATCTTCATTTGAAACCTCAACTACAATAACAATACATGTGGAGATTATTTACAACCTTTGTAAGCAGACGTAACACATTGCAAATCATTGGCTTCTTCAACCTTTCGAGAAAGCTTCTTTATTAGTAGGGAGTCAAGTTCATCTTGTTAGTATATGTTCTAGAGTCAATTAGATTGATCAAAGAATATATATTGTCATTTAATGCATACTTAATCCCATAACTATATGTAATGGAGGTTTTCATTCATGTTAATGCAATAATAAGGAGTTAGTAAGTACTAATTGGATGAAGTCCATGGAACATAAAAGCCTTGTAAGAGAATTGTAAAGTTGTTATAATTATGAGACTACTATGCATCAAAGTCATGTTCTTAAAATTATTTCTGATCATTGAATTTTCAAGACAGGGCATTGACAATACTCAAAGACTGATACATGTTAAGCCTCTTTACTTGGAAAGTAGGCAATGGATCTTATAAATTGAAGTATCTGAGATACTTAAGGATAACATGTGTTAAGGATAACATGTGGGTGCTTTTTAAAAGACATGTTCATTGAACATGACTTACTATGAGAACTTCATTTGAAATTTCATTTAAGTGTCTGTGAAATATGTTCTCATGTGATAGTCGTGCAACTAGTCTTTAAACTTGAGATACTAGGTCATCTTGTATGTGAAATGACGTATTTTGATTTCACCTTACCTCTATGGATCTGAAGACGACCAGATGCCTGAACAGGGTATTTTTGGGTATGTTATGAAGCATACGAAGGTGAATGAATAATCAAGAAAGGATTCATCACCCTAAGTGATATGAAAGGACACATCTCACTAGTTCTTAATTCTTGATTAACTTGTATAAAGTTTTTGGCCAAAGCATGGTGAATTTGAGGAAAGTTAGTTTTCTAAATTCTTAAAGTTAGTCATGAATTATGAGAACTAATATGGAATGTCATAAGTAGACACCGAGCTATGCTTAATGACATATTTGGGATATTTATTGAAAGGACCATATTGCACTAAAAGGCTTATCACTAAAAGACTTTGTGAAATTCTTTAATTAACTTTTTAACATTTGGGTGATCATGATGAATTAATAGATGATATTCATAATTTATAAATCTAAATTAATTATCAAATTGATATTTAATTATGATTATATTTATTGTCAATATGTTATAAGCCTAATAAGTCAAACACATTAAATGACATGATTAAGATTAAATAAGTATAATCAATTAAATTGGACTTAATTGGAATAAATCAAAATAAAGTGAGAAATTGATTAAGTTCACAAAAACTTAATTGAATAAAAATACAATTATTGTATTTAAAGTTACAACTTAGTTTGGCTATATAAATATGTTATGTTAGCCAACTAAAACTCTAAGCCTTCAGCCACTTCTTAACCATTTCATACAAAATAAGAAAAAAATAATTTTCTTTGTCTAACAGAAATAAGATTTGGGAAGAACTTTTGGTCTTCTTGTTTTGAAAACAAAACTTCCTAAACAAGTAAAATTCTACCTTTGAGAAAGTCTTATTCGGTCATTGTATATATTACTATTAGATGTCAAACACTTGGGTGATTAAAGATTTAACAAATCCTTAAAGTGAAGAAACAAAGTTTTGGGTTATAGGATTTTAGACCGTCTTATTCTCTTTTCGAGTTTATTACTTCATCATAAGCTTTCGGGATTTAATTAACTCTTGATTACGATATCTAGAATAAGATATATAATACTAAACTTATAAATGTTTATATTTAAGTTAAAAATTACATGAAAAAAATACAAATATTGATCTTGTGAAATTCAGTTGTTTCTTAGATTAAATGCTTATTTGTTTTTTTCACTGCGTTATACTTTTGATTTCATGATTAATTTTATCTTTGAGCATGAGGTCGAATCCCAAACACATCTCACATTCCTTAAGTGAACCTAGATACCCTTGAAATATTTCCTTCAACCTTATTGTGACATTCGACCTATCAATTTTTCAAAGTTCATTGCCCATTAATACATGTCTTAATTTGTTGCAAACAACAAAATGCCACTAGCAAATAAGGATGAAAAAGAAAGTCATCATATTTGTGGTCGATTGTGAAATAGTAATAGCAGTGTATAAGGTGATCATGTTTGCAACAAGTTCTTTGGAATTGTTTTTGATGGTTTTACATATTTTGGTAGTATGACCTAGTCTATCACAAAACAAAACATGTGAAATGATTTTGCAAAACGATAATCATTTGGAGCAAATTTCTTCTTTTGTTAATAAGAACTTTGGCTGAAAAAGACATCTCGGAGTTACCTCCCTTTGCCTTAAAGGAGCCATAGTTCTAACACAGTTGGCTGTTGTTTGGATGGAAAGTGATTATACATCTCCTTTGATTATATTTTCAAAGTCCGTAAGCTTATCATGAAACTCTTCAAATATGATGGTGGATTCTCTTACTTTAATGACAATTTAGATCCATTTTATTCAACCCCTAAGCCATTCAAGATTATCTATAGTCGTCGCATGAGCCAGTGCTAATTCATCAACAATACCTTTCATGAATTGCATATCTTCTGTAGTGATTTTGATGTCTTGGGTTGAGACAGTCGACTTTTCCTTGAGAAACATTACAGAGGATTTGGTTTTATTGGCAAACATATGAAAAAGTTTCTACCATGCATCTTGGGATGTTTTAGCGGTGGTAACGAAAAGAACAATTGCTTCAAAATAAGAGGCAACAATAGTATATATTGAAGATGAACTGGTCTTGTTTGTGTACGTAAGTTCAAGGTTATGGTGCCATTTTTAATGATCATTGGATTAAGGGGAGGAATTGAACCTTGAAGTAACTTGTCAAATCATAACCAACAATTAGCAAATAACTTAAAGTTAAGGATGATTTTTTTTAGTCCTCAAAAATAACTTTCTTTTTAATTTTAATCATTTTTAGTCAAGAGGAAAGATTGTTGGATAAAATTGTCTTTAATGAAAACTCCTTATATTCATGTGTGAAGAAAATGTGTTTTTTTTAGAAAGAAAAAATCAACACCACTACTACTCAAGAAAAATGATACAGAGGTGCAAAAGCTAACAACAAAAGATTTTAAGTATAAAAAAAGAAAGAGAAGTCATCATCCAAATCACCCTCTCATACATATAAATGAACAATTGAAGAAAAAGAAAAAGGGAAGTGGACGCAAAGCTATTTTAATTTTTGATAAATCTTTTCTTTTTTTTTTC